AAACGTTTTAATGGAAAGATTTTAGCACTGCGCTGTTAAATACTGTAGCCATGTGGTTACTGAGCACTTGAAGCATGGTGAGATTGAGCTGGGATCTGCTGTAAGTATGTACACACAGGATTTCAAAAACTGTACCAAATAAAAGCAAGATGTATTTCATATACATTTTTATATGGGTTACATATTGAAATATGTTCAGTATGCTTCATATTGAACGTCCTGGTTTAAATAAAACGTAATTTTTTTCAGGGTGGCTGCTAGATAATTTAGAATTATACATTGGACTCCCACTGTATTTCTACTGGACAGCGCTGATCTAGAGTACCTGCTGGGAGTGTAGTTTAAAATCTTCTACAGCTTGGGACTCTTATCATCTGGAGAGCGTTATAAGGAAAGAAAATTATGTGACTCTGATATCAGTGTAATTACCAAATTAAAAAGTGTCATAAAAATGTAAAACTTACTTATAATTTTAAGGATGATGTTAGGTCTCTGGCTTAAAAGGTTGACTTTGAAAAGTGCATTCAAAATGGGTTTGCTTCCCCCCTCTCCTCTTTATTTTAGAACAATTTTAAAAAGTGGTTACATAATAAATGCAATCATTGGCTTGTAGTCTTGCCTACTCCCCCCTTCCCTCAGGTGAAGATCTGACAATTCTGTTGGCTGTTACTTTCATTCACCTCCCCCTCCCTTTAGATGACTTCTGTGAATTTCACAATGAAACAGTGATGTTTGTATTTCTCTTTCCCTAAATATGTGTGCCTTCCCTCCCCTCCCCTCTTCTCTCTCCCTGTCTCTCTCTCTCTCTCTCTCTTTTTTTTTTCTTCCTCTCTCTCTCTCTCTCTTTTATTTTCTCTCTGTTTTCAGGTATGCAGCCTCAGGACAAAAGCAAGGATCTGTACTGGTTTTAGACAGCCCACCTTCTTCCCTGTAGGTCTCTGCATAGTGGGATTGATGACACTCAGAGCTGAAATCGAGTTGGTTTGTAACAACAGCTTCTGATCTTGGTTTGCAGCTCACCGCTATTCCCTCTGTGGTGCATCCCTCCTGAGCTGATCTCCTGACCCACAGTTCCCCTCCCCCTTTCCCTTCTGACCGGCCATGGAGGCTCAGCACCTGTGGCTCTCACTTCATGGATGAGGACATGGGGAAAGACTTCAGACTTCCTTGGGAAAACCAAAACACACCATCTCCCGATAGTTCATCTAAAAAATAATTCCTTCTGCCGAAAGATCCAGAGACTCGGAATGATTTTTAATGACTTTTGGCCAAATCACTGGAAATATCTGTGGTGAGATCACTTAGTGGGGTGATAGGATATCATAAGCTTTCTTGGAAAAAGGAGAAAGGAAAAAAAGAAAAAGAAAGACTTTCTGGTGTGAATATTTTTTATGCTGATGTTAATTATTTCATTATGTAGTGCTGTAATAGCACTACTGATGTCAATATCCTCAGATTTAAAAATGTATTTGTATTTTCATCTAAGACTGTGGTAGAGAAGTAAAAAGAAGCCAATTCTTTCTTCCTCACCGCATAGCTTCCAGCTCCCTTCCTGCCCACTCCCTCCCAACAACACACACTCCAGACACAAAGACACACTTTCTCCTTTGGACTGTGAACGTGGAAGCATCAGCCTGAATGTGAGTGGCAAGTGGCTTATCTGGAGCCACCTGCCCAAGTCTTATTGAAATGCAGCTGTTGTAGGACAACTGTTGAAAACTCCAGAAATACAACGACCAAAGTGGCACTTCCCAGTGTTTGGCACAACAATTGCAATTGCACTGGATATATTTTATGTGTGTGTGTGTGTGTGTGTGTATCATATTTTTTACAAGGAACATTTTATGATGAAAGAAGAAACCATTCTATGCCTTCTTGCCACAAATTCTGTCCTCCCTCTATCCTCCTCTGGGTAAAAAAGCAACAAGAGACCCTAAATGTCCCCATGGAGAAGAACTAGAAATCACCACAAGGAATAGAAATATCCATGGAGTCTCCAACCCCAAATATTTTTCGGTCTCTATGGTCGTGATTTGGTTACATTAGTGTTGGACCAGGAAAGGGCCTGTGCCTGGGCAAAGCTGAAGGTGATGAGGAGGAAGAAATGAACATTAAAGATGTCTATTTACTACAAGTTCACTGTGTTGTTTCATAAAAAGAAAATAAACACCTTAGTTTTTCTCTACTAGAGTGATTTATAGTAGTATGATCTGATGTCAGTAGTAATACTGTCGTTGTTAGATGCCATCAGGTTGATGTTGACTCATAACCAGTCCCTGTGACAGAGTAGAGCTGCCCCATAGAGTTTTCCAGGCTGTAATCTTTATGGGAGCAGATTACCAAGTCTTTCTCTTGTGGAGCTGCTGGTTGAGTTGGAACCACCAACCTTTCTGTTAGCAATCAAGTACTTAATCCCAGCCCCCAGGGCTCCTAGTAGTAACATTACCTTTTGTATATAGTTTTGTTTTTTTTTTTCCTCCCCTCCTCATGAGATTTTGCTATGGTGTAAAATCTGTTACCCCTTTTCCACCTCCTATATCAGTTGTGATGAAGTTAGGTGTCCACCCTCTGTTTCACAGATGAGACAGTCATGGCCCAGAGAAGTCAAGGGCTTGCCTGCTAGCATTCAGTGAGCTAGAAGCAGTGATGGTACAGAAAGTACAACCTGTAGATCATTCAGTCAGATGCGGAATTCTGTTAGAATCCGGCATGGAATTATTGTTACATCTTGAATTCCAGGCTCTGAAGACATAGAAAAGTCATAGAGAAAAGTGATCTTGAAATATTTGTTGTTTTATATTTTAATAAGACTAAGAAACCAAACCTATAACTTGGCAAAAAAAAAAAAAAAAAAGATTTTTATTAAGAAATTGACAGGCTTTTTCTTTATTTCCTCTTGACATCAAAGTTATATTCTTCAGTAAAGAACCCAAATGATATTTTGTGTTCTACTCAAATTTCCCCTGTGCATTGTTGAACCACAAAAATAGTTCAAATCTCAACCTTCATTGTAACAAGGGAGGAAATATAGTTTATCTTAGATAGTAGATACACTATATTTCCTCTCTTGTTTTAGTGATGTGGGACCAGTTAAGGAAACTTACTCAGTGCTTGAGCTTAGCTGAGTCACCTGTCCTTTCTTTCATTTTGGTCCCTGCCAAGTAGATATGCTCATTACAAAAGTGTTGTTACTGGTTTTGCTCAGATGGAAGGTACTGTATGATTATATTGCACCATACGTGATAGCAACAACTCATGTTTCTTGTTTATTATGCACTAGGCACTAACCTGAGGGCTTCATAAAGGTCAACTCATTTAAGCCTCTCAGCAATTCATGTGGTATTTATTATGATTTTCCTTCTTATCTACAAAATGTCCTTTGGTGGCACAATTGGTTTGTACCTGATAACTAACATAAAGTTCGGTAGTGTGAACCTACCTGGTGGCGCCGCAGAAAAAAAGACCTGACAATCTGCGTTCATAAAGATGATGATGAAGAAAACCTTCTGGAACAGTTCCCTTTTCTAACACATGAGATATCTGTGAGTCACAGTTGACTTGATGACACCTAACAACAGTGGGGTTTTTTGGTTCTTCCCTAAGAAAATCAACGAGCACTAGGAGAAATAATTTGCTCTGTCACATAGCTTGTAAGTGACAGAGCCAGGTTGTATACCCAGGAATCACAGGTTCAGAGATTGTTCTCTGCTCTAGTAGCTACTCGCCAGGTTCTAATTTGTCTTTGTGCTGTTCGACTCTGGGATTATTTGCTCCTCCACACAGATGAGTAAGGAAGGAAGAAGTCAAGGAAGCAAGAGACTGATGTTTTCTAGAACTTACAAAATCCTAGGTCTCATATCATTAGACATTGTCCAAACTCCTTCATCAAATGACACTACCTTTAGACTATTCAAAGAAGCTCTGGTGGTGCAGTGCCTAAGGCATTTGACTGCTAACCAGAAGGTTGGCTGTTCAAACCCACCAGCCACTCTGCAGAAAGAAGACTGGGCAATCTACTTCTGTAAAGATTTACCACCCTGGAAATCCAACGAGAGTCGCTATGAGTCGGAATCGACTTGATAGCAGTGGGTTTGGGTTTGTTTTTTTTTTGGTTAGACTATTCAAAAGGAGCTATGGGGAAGCAGTAGTTAAGAACTCAGCTGCTAATGGGAAGTTTGGTGTTTTGAACCCACCAGCCACTCTGGGGAGAAAGGTGTGACAGTCTGCCTCTGTAAAGATTATAGCCTTGCAAACCCAGCGGGGCAGTTCTCCATCCTATAGGCTTGCTATGAGTCAGAATTCACCCCTTGACAATGGGTTTGGTAGACGATTCAGATAGAGATTTATATTCTTCTCCAGGACGTAATTATTATTATCTTCTTAATTCATTTAATATTTAACAGCTCTCAGTGCTCTCACGTTCTCTGCACTGAACCTAACTAAGTCAAGTAACAGCCTGAGGTTTGGACATTGAAGCAAGAACTAAAATTAACTTTGGACTTCTCTGTGGATTTTTTTAATCCTTGTTCCACTGGCATGAATCACTGGTATATACAAGCATAAATGAAATGCATGAAGTTCCCAGTGAGCTGCCCAGTATTTGCCATTGAATATGCAGTTGTAGAGGAAGGCTTAGCAATGTCTTCTTTGCTAGCCATCCTAAATATTCCCCCATGGAAGAAGCTCTTCCCCTGTTCCCCACCTGCATTAGCACTCACAAGATCTGTGGTCAGAACTCACTCACAGGGAGCATTTTCCCAGCCACGAGGTTCTGATTACTGAAACCTCTCTCCTGAGCTGCATCTGACCTGAATATCAGGTTGCTGGTGAGGAGACTCATTCACTGGAACCGGCCTTTGGGCCAGTCCTTAACAGGCCGTGCAGACCCATGAGCTGGGCTCCGGTGACCTGACACGTAGAACACATGAAGCTGAGCATTTCCCTCCTTTTTATGCCTTCCTGAAGTAGAATTGCAAGTTGACGTAAGGCTGTAAGGATTTGGTTCTGTGTAATGAGAGTATCAAAGAGAGCTTTGGTGGTTCCATAGCCCTAACTGGCATTTTCTAGGCCCACCCATCATACAAGATACCAACTCCTGTGCCTGTCTTGTTAATATTAGTGAAACTGTATAGATTAGTTGTTGATGTTAGTTGCCACAATTCCGACTCATGGTGACCCCATGTGTGTAGAGTAGAATTGCATTCTGTAGGATTTTCAAGGTTGTGACCTTTCGGAGGCAGATTGTCAGGCCTGTCATCCAAGGATCTCTGGGTGGTTTTGAATCACCAACCTTTCAGCCAGTAATCAAGCACTTAACCATTTGTGCCACCCAGGAACCTATTATGTAGATTGGGGAAGACCCTAATAGCTGGTTAAATGGCATTAAAGGAAACGAGAGAGGGCAGAATAAAGGCAAGCGTGGCATTTGTACATGCATTATATCTGGTTAGGGATCTTTGAGAAAAAATTAGATTCTCCTCTAATCAGACCCCTTGGCACTGATGTCCTCACCCACAGCTTTCCTTTTGTACTTGGCCTAAGCTGAAGAAGAGGTGATGAAAAGCGGAGAGACAGCTCTCCACCACCAAGTAATCCTTTCGCCGATTGCCCTCTGGCTGAGAATTCAGTCACCCAACTACAGGGAACTCTATCTGTTCTTCTCCTTCAGTTTAAAAGGAGTTGCCATCTCGTCTCATTTTTCCTTTGAAGTTCTATTTCAATGCATGGCAAAATCTAGCAATGACTTAAGATTGATTCAGGCCTGGGTGGGAGGGAGGGTAGAGGTGCTGGGACACAGACTCCCTGACTGAAAACTTCTCTTGCAATTCTCTCTGGGTAAGTACTGTATTTTCTGTGTCATTGTGCATCTGGGGGAAGCAACTATTAGGATAACTTGAACATCCAGTTTGCTTAGACTCACAAACTCTTTGTTTATGTGCATGCACTCATGCACATTCCTATCAAAATGAACAAAGATACTCTTTTTTTTTAGGCATTTAGTGGTTGGTTACTTAGGAGCTGGAGGAAATTGGGAGGAAAAAAATATGCCAAACCATGAATTACATTTTTAAATATCATTCATTAGAATGATGTCAAAGAATGAAAGAATACTTGAAGATATTTGAAGAAA